CGTTACCCGCGCTGACGCGTGACGGGAGGGTCGGCGGGTCCCCCCCGAGTCTCCCTCGCGTTTCCGAGGCCCCCGTATGTCCCCGCGGTCCCCACGCGTGTCCCCGGCCGGCTCGGGTCCCTCTCCATGGGGCGAATGCCCCCGAGCACCCGGCGGGGGAAGGGGAAAGGGGGAAGGGAGGGTGCGTTCCCCGGCCTCCCCCAGGGAAAGGCCGCAGGGCCCCTCGGCCTCCGCCCGGGCGAGTTCGCGATTCTCCGACTTGGAGCCCGAGGCCGCTATTCCCTTCCCTTCCCATGGCGGTGGGTTTTGCATGGAGCGGATCTGCTGCCGATGGGTTCAGCCCTTCCGCGCGCCCCGCTCTGCGCCCGCGTGGGGCGACGGACGGGCTGGCGGAGCAGGGCCGAGCTCGCGAGCTAGAAAGACCCTGGAGGGCGCCGAGGATAGAGATACATCTTTTAGTTGCTCGAGGAGACTTCTCCCGGGAACGTGTCCAAGCAGCTTGGTGTTTCTGCAACCCTTTGGCAAGGGCATAAAGAAGTGTAATCTTAAGAGCTGTCAGTGTTTGAGATTTCGGAAGCGCTTGACCGTTTCTGGAAGTTGAGCAGCTGAACGATGCAACGTGCTTATGCGGAGAGGCGTCAGTGCTGGTAGCTGGGGCCGGGTTTTCCTTGCTGTCGCTGGGAGCTCATTCAGAGCTATTTCTCTCCCTCTGCTCCTGCTTTTCCCCAGAGCATTTCCCTAAACTGTTGTTTAATCAGAGCTAAATGCAGCCTACGGAAGCGGACGCCGCAGCGTGAGGTCAGGACGAGAGGTCTGGTGCTGCTCTGGCTTAAAGATGATGTGAAAAGCTGTGGTACAGGAGCCCGACCCAACATTGGGCTTCCTTCTGCTCGGAATTCTCCTGGAGCCATTGCTTCGGGTGCAGGAACCAGCCACCCGCCCTTGTCACACGTCGCTTGGTGCCTTCTTGTCGGGTCGCTCCGCTGCTCTGGTCGTCACGGGTGTTTAGAAACCCCCAAGGCGGGTGGCAAAGTCTCAGGGTCTGAGATGCTTCTCACTTCGGGTGTGTGAGAAATGGTAGTGAAAGGAGTAATCATCTTCCTGAAGAGAAACGGTCTTTCAGATGCATTCAGGAAAAATATTGCGTTGCCTCTGCTAGAATAGCAATTTTTGTGAAACTGCTGCTTCTTTGTGGCTGTGCAGGCCTCGCTCGGGCACCGGCTGCTTCTGGGCCAGAGCTTTGGGCTCTGCCCGCGTATTGCCAGGCGGGAGCTTTGCGTGCCCGGTGCCGTGGGTTCCCGTCAGCACAGGCCACCCAAACGTGCCGTGTCGTGGAGCGCTGCCGTCCCGGTGCTGGCTCCGGGGATGACGCCCCGTTCATCCCCGTGCCGCGGAGGCCGCGTCTCGGTGCTCTGCGGCTGGCTCGGAGACGGGAGCGCCGTGCTCGCGTTCCGGCAGGGATGCAGGCTCAGCAGGATTTGCCTGCAATTATTTTTCCTTCCCGAGGGCTTCCAGAGAGATGCAAACACCTAGCGCCCAAATTTTGCCCAGTTTAATTAAACTAATATTTAATGTGATGTCCCTCTATTTGAACACTTGAAAAGTTTTCAAATCTTTCTGATATTTCTTTGTGGGAGTTAGGGTAGACAGCATTCTTTTCTGTGGCATGAGAAGGCCTAAGAAAAGGTGTGTAAATCCCCCAAAGGTATGAAAAAAAAAAATAAAGCGGCTTCCCCACATGGCAGCACCGTTCTCTGGCTCTCATCTACCGCACCTGGCAGTGCCGCAAGGCAGCACGTTGCTCTTTTTGTGCCTTTCATCTTGTTTGTGGCAAACACGCTTTGCTGCTTCCCCAGTAACAACAGCTCCTTCTATCCCTGGGGGTCACTGCATATATGGGAAAAGAAAGGCATCCGGTAGCTTGGTGTGGTGCCAGCGTTCCCACTGCCTCCCCAGATGCTCCTGGCACTGTCTTCCTTACAAGAAGATGCTGCCTTTGGAGCGGAGAAAGCGAAAGGGCTGTTAGAAATCCAGCGTTCGGTGATGTTGATGGAAAAAGCCTTCACACAGACACAACATCATCTACCTCGTTGGGGTCTCTCTGTGTACTTGGCCTGAAAAATTGCTGTTAAAGGTGGTTAATTGTGTTAAAGATGCTGTTAACGGTGGTGACCAGCCCTTGGATGCTCTTTTCTAGCACAGGTTGCAGTATAGCCTTAAAATATTCTCCTTTGATTTTGAACAAGGTAATCCAAATCTGCATTTAATATATAGGCAGTATGACTAATCCCTGTGTTCATATGTTGTTTTTGATGAAGCTATTTATATATGGCAGCATTCTGCATATGGAAACACCACTTGGTGTGTGAAGGCTCGTTAGTTTGCACCATTTCTTAGTGGATCAGGTAGAAAATCTTAGTTGGTAAAAGCTTTCTCATGTGCACCGGAACAAGCCTGAGCTTAAAACATTATTTTTTGTTTTTTTTTTTTTTACTGCCCCTGATCGCGCAGTTCTTTGGCCGTGTTTTGCAATTTTAGGCAGCATAGCACAAGCTACCTTGGGGCTGCTTGTTTGGCATAAAGGTTCAGCTCTTGTGACTGAAAATCAGATTTAGCAGGACTTGTTTCCTGGCCTGTGGCAAATGTGCAGTGTGGTTTAACTGCATTGTAAAACCACAGGTGACGAGAAAGAGGCTACAGGAAATGACTTGTAGACTGAATTCTCCGCGATGGCGACTGCCGCCTCTAGCCGACGGCGGCTTAACTTTTATTTTGTTCCATCTGGATCACGCTTATATTTAGGGCTGAGGAGAAGATTTGTTCTTAATGAGAGCCTACACTGCCACCCACACTTCCTGCAGAGAGTAGTGTTCAAACCATGCAGTTTTAGGGCTTTGCATTAAAAATACACTTGATATTTCTGCTTGCCCGGGAAGGATTCGGTCTGTGACTCTCGGGACCTTGGAGCAGCGTCCTTGGGAGGCCGGGGTGGAATCAGGGGGTGCAGGAAGGGGGAACCTTCCCCATCAAGGCGTCTTTTGGGAGCAAGGTGCTCTGCAGTTAATAGAGCGCTGTATTTGGTGAGCATCTTGGCAGGAAGAATCAGACTGATACACAAAATATGGCTAAGAGGAAACATATTTACTCATCACAGGGCTGTAAATATGGCTAATGGCTGGAGCGTATTTGGATCCTCACACTTGGCGGGGGAAAATGATATCAGCAAAACAGTAACAGCACAAGTTAAGATCATACTCCGATGGTCTGTTGCGGCGAATGCAGTCCTCGGAGACATTTGTCTAGTGTAAAATACAATTTTCTTCAACAGAAGAAGAAAAACAGCGTGTCTGTCCTTATAAACAAGTTTTCAGGATATGAGAGAACATCGTTCTGAAAAAATAAGTAAAAAATGCTATGCTTACGAACTGGGACTTATTGCTTTTTAGCTGTAGTATTTTTTGCAAGCTGATTTTTGCAAACTAAAAAGCCTGAGGTGAATTTTCCACATTTGGCACAAAATACATTATTAGGGCAGATCTTTGATATGGAGAAATATCATTTGGAGGGGGCGGGGAGCCGGGGCTGTGGGAGGGGAACCGTTGCCAGCTCCAGTGCACGCAAATATACAAGATTAATGCAGACTCTACATGTTTCATGGTGCTTTTTACAGAGCCTGCTGCTCGGGTGCAGTTTGCTACTGCCCGATGTGCAAGTCCTCATTTGGTCCCAAGTGGCAAATGTCCTTTGTGCAGTGGCCAGGTGGAAACTTCTGAAACCCTCTCCAAGAATCAGGCAGACGCTTCCCTGCAGGATGTGGTCCCTGTGACTGTCTTCCCTGCTGATTCCTCTGATGATTCTGGTTTTCCTGGTGCTTATGACCATTTTATAGATCTGGGTAGACCCCAGTTTGTGGTCTGAAGCTTTTGTCTTTGCTGCTTTTGGTAGCTCCAAGACTGCCTTTTCTGGGCCTACAATACTTGAGCTTGGCAAATGGAGTGTGCTTGGGTTATTCAAATGCTAGATACAGACATGATTTTCCTAATTGTTTCTCTGTAGTTTCTATCATTGAAAGGCATATAGGAGGAGGCAAAATTGTCTTACTCCTTTGGGCAATGGATTGTTTTTGTTTTCAATATAAGGTGAGACTTGAATGTCTAAATGACTTCCCAAGAAATAAATGTTTTACCACCTCTATTTCAGCAGCAGTGTTTGTGTGTGTGCTTTGCACAGTCTAATAGTTTTGGTGACAGGGCTACCTTCTGATGGGAGGCAAATGGGATGTTTTATTTGTGCTGTCTGGATTTGTTTGGGAGAAGAGGGAAGTGCTCTGACAAGATTTGCACTCACGTACGAATCTGTGCTTGGACAGTGCAGTTGATTCTGCTTGGGAGGTCTTAAGCGTTTATCAGATAAGTGTATTTTGCTTGCAGGTAACACAAGCTATGTGTTTTTCATTATGTTTCAGGGTGAAGGCTGTCGTACTGTCCCCCTTTCTGGACACGTAGGATTCGACAGTTTGCCTGACCAGCTGGTTAATAAGTCAGTTAATCATGGTTTCTGTTTCAACATCCTGTGTGTGGGTGAGTATTTCCATTCTGGGAAGGTCTGTTGCTGAACAGGATTTCTTTGCAGCTGGATATAGCTTACAGGTAATAGAGTTAACAAGGTAGCTTTAATTTAAAATTCCCTCCCACTCCCCATTCTGTCTATTTTGAGTAACGTGATTTACTGGTGCTCTGGGAAATCCCTGTTGGGCTTGTGCAGTATGGCTTTTTACCAAGCAGCGAACCACAGAAATAAAATGCCTGAAATCCCAGGCTTTTATTATCATGTTTATTTTCCTAGTATATTTCAATTTAATGTTTTTAAAAGAAAACAGGTATTCATGCCAGAGAGCTTTGTTCTGAGATCTTGTTTGCTTAGACATTGAATTATTATTATTACTGTTATTTAAACAAAATACCAGTCATGTTCCTCTCGAAGCGCTAAAAGATATGTTTTTTTCCTACTCCCTTCTGTGCATACTTGAATTAAAATAGTGTCTGGCCAAGCCGTGTCTGGCCAGGCGCTTATCCAGGCTGCCGTGTGGGAGCTGTCTCGGCGGGGCCGGGCACTGCGGCAGGACTCGCTGTCTGTCCCCACAGCGCCAGCCGGTCTCCGGGTCTTTCCCGGGACCGGGATTCCGGACGGTCCCTGCCGCGAGGCGCTCCCCGTAACGGCAGCACGCTTTGCATGGTGTCTTGGTGAGGTGGATACGGGAGCCCAACGGGAGGATAATTCTGGTTTGCGCCCTGTCCTCCGGAGCAGAGGGTTGTTGGGTGGCCGCGGCCACTCGGAACCATCCACGTGCGCGGGGCGCCGCGAGGGATGGCCGCGATGCTGCCTCCCGGGGCTGGTCCTCGTCCCCGCTGGGGCCCAGCTCTCCGGCTGCAGCGTGGGGCCTGCGCGCGGCACGGAGCCCGCTGCTCACCCACGCAGGGTTAAGCCTGAGACGGAGGAGCGGAGCAAGGAGAGCGGAGCCCGGGGAAATGGAGCCGAGAAGAAAACTTTTCCGGCGACAGCGATCCTGCGAGATGTTAAACTTCGCTGACAAGTAGAGGTCACTGTCAGGCTGAGTTGCTAGGTGATTTCCACAGTACGTGAATGTGATATGACCTAGTGAAACTCTCCTGTCCCAGAGATTGAAGCCCTACAGTATTTCCTTTTGTGCTTATTGAGTGGCTTTTTTTCCCTAGAAGTTACACATGCAGCAGCAATTGTCTCTTGTGGTTACATATTCACCTTGATGTGTGGAGAGCAGTTGAATCCCTCTGCTTTCCTCTTTGCAGAACAGAAGATGAATGTATTAATTGCAGTTAATGTGGATAACAAGAGCTCACCAAGATTAATGTGCCTTTATTATTAACATCAGTCTTTAATGAATGGTAACAACCTAGACATGGTTAGTTTTGAAATCAGCTTTGCAGGAAAATCTTAGTAAGTCTCATTAGAAAAAGGTCTGCAAATCTTTACTTGAGGGCCCCAGGTTTTAAAGTGTCTTCTCTGGTAGCTCTGTTAACTTTTGGTAACAAAGTTAAACTCTTAAACATCCTGGAAAAAGAAAACAGAATCCATCAGACATTTAGTCTGTTGCTCTCACGTGTCCAGGAGGAGTTTGGAAACATCCAAATGGCAAGCAGGTGAGCTGATCCTGTAGTCAGGCCACTGAACATGGTAGAAATGCACTTGAGTTTTCCCCATTTTTCAGCTGTGTGCAACATTTGTTGGAGGAAAAATCCAGCAGCAATTTTATCCTGTGCCATACTGGATCCAAGCCACTGATTCCTCTGGTTCCTGGCAGCGGAGCCAAGGAAAGCTTCAGAAATGGCTCAGCAGTACGTCCAGATTAGAGCAATTTTTAGCTGTTCTCCCGCTGAAAGCTGTCTCTCCTTTGAGACTGGAGTCAAGAGTAAAAGAACAAACCTCCCAGAATAAGTTAGGGATTGTGAATGGTTTCTCTTCTATTTTATCCGCTGGCATAACTGTTTTCTCCTAAAGCTTCAGTGCTAGATGTCAGTTGTCTCTTAGTTCAGTGCAAAGGCTGGAGAAGTATTTAATGGCTGAGACAGAGTGTTTGAGCTCTCTGCATTGCTTAGTGAGAAGGGGGAAAGAGAGGGAAGGAGTAGGCTGAGAATTTTCTTGTGAATGCTCTCAGTTTTGGTCAGGGTAGATTATATTGCATTAGACTGCTATCCTGTTATAAGCAGGAATTTCCCTCTTCCTTCCTCCCAGGATTTACAGGGGATTTGTCCTAAGCAGCCTATTCAATGCAATGAAAAACACTATTTTCAGTACCTTCCTTTTTGCCAGGGGCTGGCCAAAACAGTTTGGGGACTCTCACAAAGAATGGTCCCTATTCCAAGGGGAGAAGGGGGTATTATTAATTATTATTTTTCCCCATGTTTATTCAGCAATTCCCAAATTTGAGCCATCAGGTTTTGGCTTTTCATCATCCAATCTGTCATCCCCTGGATTCAGTGATAACAGGAGTAAATTCTGAGGTCCATCTAGTCCTCTAAGGCACTTAAGCATCTTTGTGAAGCCTCATTCCTCTTGCCCTCCAAAGAGCAGCCTTTGCCTGGTAATGGATGAGCTGTGCAGCATCTCCATACACCTGTCAGATGAAAAGCACGTTTTTTTCCTCTCTCCATAAGAGACAGCCTTATCAGGCTGAGCTGCCTCAGGGCTCGCCTTGACAAACCTGCTACATTGGATTAGCGCCCATTTCTTCACATGAAAGGGTTGTGCATGCATATACATTTTCTTTAAGATTGAATTGTTTGATGTCTGGAGCCATGGGCTGTTAATCTCCTGAAGGACGGGTGTTCCTCTCTCTTGCCATGACTCCCTTCAAGAGCCACTCTGTGCCTCTGAACAGCAGAATACACCAAGCACTACCCTGTGCTCCTGGAGAGGGATGCTGTGATTGGGACCTCTGAAATCCTGAGCGATACGGAGCAGGCGAGCAGTTGTGTGTTATTTCACGTAACCCGTACAACACATAACACATAAGAGGAGACGTTGCTTTCAGGGCACTGGCTTAGTACTGCTGCACAGCCAGCGTCTCACTGATGTAGTGTTTCTTGCTATTTTTTTCTTTCACATCTCTGAAAACCGGGAGGCTTAAAAGCAAAAATGACACAAAGCTATTGCATTTCAATAGCTGTCTGAGCGTCCTGCCACAGAAATCTAACAATAAAGGTCTCTGTTCCTACCTTGTCCTCCCCATGGTACAGTGTCAGCCCTGCTTCCAAGGAGCAGACTGCTGTGGAGTTACATAATCCTTAAGTACAGTTTTGGGGGTTAAATCACATGTGTGCCTATAAGCCTTACATCAGGAAATAATCTCCCCACCAAGGACGCCACTAGCCCAATTTGTGTCCACCACTGCTTTTTCCACAGCCATTCTGCCTCCCTTAATCCCCATTCACTGTTTCTGTCTTCTGGAGAAGATTCCCGTGCTGTCAGCTGGAACAAGCACAGACTACTTGTCCTTTTCATCGGACCATCTGCTCCATCTGGGCCGCTGTCCTCACAAGAGGCAGTCGGCACCATTTATATCTTCCAGCCAGCAGAAAGTTGCCTGCGTCAGGCAGAAACTCCCAGGAGATTCAGAAATTCCTCTTTCCATCGTTTGGTCCTTCAAAGTAGCACTGCTCCCTGGCTCTGGTCATATTTAACACAGCAAAACACTTTATTAACACCTCCAATCTGTGACCATCTGAAGTTGTTCCTTGAGTGTTAGTGTCACGTTTTCCTGAGCTGAGGCAGTTATTCCACTCTTCCATCATCCTTTTTCCTTTAGGCTTTTAATGCGCCAAGGGTGGAGGGCGTTTCAGCAGTGTGGAGGATGATTTATAGGCTAATTTTTTACATGCAAACTTCAGATTTTTGATGCTGTGTAAGCTGTTGGATTCTCTTTCCTTTAGGCACATAATTGTAGCTATCTGGATGGGAAAGACTCGTCTATGGAACCCAGCTAGAATCAGGTTAGGTCTTTCAGAAAGAAAATCTCAGTGTGTGAATTCAAAGTCCTCTTTAGTGGCCCTGTGTAGTTTCCATTAGAGGGGTAGAAGCAGGCCCTGTCCTAGCAGATTGCCCGCGTGGCTGGGGCTCTTCCCGCTGCTCTCTGGGCAGGTGGGCGAGCAGCGTTGCCTGCCCGGCGTGTTCCCTGTCCCGAAGCGCCCCGCTCGGATCTGGCGTTGGCGGGCGGCGGGTTCCCGTCCCACTCGTGCAGGCAGGAGCCCTTGGCAGCCGCTCTGGAAATGCTGCAGCCTCCTCCGGCTGTTTAGATTTTTGAGCCGTCAGCTCCTATCACCCCTCCCAGGCCCCGGACTGTGCGTTCTCATTGCCAGACAAGCGTGAGCTGCTCCGTGCCCTCTGATCCGAGCCGCGCGGCCGTGACCGCGGCCGATGCGTTAGGGGCGCAGAGGCCTGCGGCGGTGCCCGCTTGCATGTGTGGCTCTCCTTTCCCCACCTTGGATTGCAGACAACGTGTGACACACAGATTGGTGTGAAGAGAACTCTGTGGCTTTGGAGGCTCCTCTTGGCATCTGTTTATTCAGGGCGCAAGCTAGTAGCTGGCTGCCCATGCTGCTTTGACGCTCAGGGTGTACATTGACTTTCAAATGTTAGTGAATCTTGCTGACTTCTGGGAGGCTTCAGAGAGCGCTTTGTCCCCGCGGTGGTGCGTCTTGCCCTGCTCTGCCTGCCTGTACTTCAGCCTGGAACTGGAGGTCTCCTCCAGAGGCAGGAGAGAAGAATTTGCCTGCTCGCAGGGGTGAGGCACAGAGATTTGGATGGAGGAGGAAAGGGAGGAGTTTCCCCTTATTGAATCGGGCATTTCATGCAAGTTTGGATCTGTTGCAGTGCTCTAAGCTCACAAAAATCAGAAGCTCTTCTGAGTAAAGTAGGAAAAGATGAAGTTGTCCTGTTTGGAAGCTGAGGGTGGGAGAGGCCTCTCCAGGGAGACACAGTCTCCTTGTGGCCCTGGAGCGCTCCAGCCGAGCAGCCTTGGCCAAGGTCCGGTTCATCCGGCTGCCGGGGCTGCAGCAGGAGCCAGCGGGCAGCTCCGAAATCTCCGTCCCTCCAAAATGCAACAGGCCTCACAGGGCAGCACAGCAGACCTAGGGGTGTAGCATCAAGTGAGATCCTAGCTCTGTTGTCAGCCTGTGAACTAAGTGTGTGGAAGGTTTTGTTTTGTTCTCCCAGGGATGTATCTAAAACAAATCTAAGATTGGTCACTGGAATTTGTCTCTTCCAGATAAGGAAATATAGTTGATAGAATCCTGACAGTAGTTCAATGCTGTAGAACAATTGGAAGCAGATTTGGGAGTTTTATTTAACCTCTGAAACTGCTGATGTGTAGAAACCAGATATTTTGGGAAAGGTCCCTGCCTAGATTAGAAAACTGATCCCCAACTCTCTCTGTTGTGGGTACAAGAAATCAACTTCACAGACTGTGGAACTGGAACAGCATTGCAGTGTTTCTGCATGCAAGGAAGCTATTTGAGTGGCCACTTATCAGAGAAATGCTCATCTGGATTGTATTTTTCTGCAGATGGCAGAGAGCCCCGACCCCCTCCCTATTTTAATAGAAACAGCATCTTCTGCAGTGGAGTGATGAGTTTGTGCAGGATCCAGATGAGGCCTTCCCATTTGCCTTTTCACCTCTTTCTTTCCATCTCTGTTTTCTAGTGATATTAATAGCCATTAGACTGTGTAATGTAATTTGCCGGGAATACAGACCTCCCATTGTACATGGTTTTCTGCTTGCCAGACAGTCTCTTTGGAACATGAGATCTGCTTTTGCCTGCTACAGTTTCACCGCTGTTAAAGTCTGGATGCTGGAAGGCCAAACCGTATTAATATTCAGCAAAACATTTTGACCTTCTTTTTCTCTAACAGGGGAAACTGGCCTTGGTAAGTCTACGCTCATGGACACACTTTTTAATACCAAGTTTGAAGGTGACCCGGCATCTCACTCACAGCCTGGGGTGCAGCTGAAATCTAACACCTACGACCTGCAGGAGAGCAACGTCAACCTCAAACTGACCATTGTGAGCACGGTGGGCTTCGGGGACCAGATCAACAAAGAGGACAGGTTAGTGGAGACAGAGCGGGGCTTTATCACAGCCTGGTTCTCTCTTACAGGGTGTCCTCTTGTGCCCTAGCTGAGCCAGACTGGCTTTACGATAAAGCTCTCTCCTTCTTATGAATCATCCTCATCTTTTGGGGATGGGACAGAGAGGAGAGAAGAGAGTGCCCCATGGTGTCAGCTATTGAAGCAGTTTTCCTCATGGAGTCAGGACAGTGTCTGCCTTACTGGCAGCCTTCTGCCCAAATTCATCTGGTGGGGAGAGTGGAGAGTTCCAGGGCATTTCTGTGCTTGTTTCTTTGTGCTGTTCTGACCACAAGCTGCTCACCAAACCACTAGTGTGGTCTAGTGACCCTTTTGTTTAACAACCACTTTTCTGGCAGGGCTCTTCCATCTTGCCAGGGGAAGCACAATAAATATTCAGTGAAATACCCCGGGGAAACGTTCCTGGCAGCTCAAGTTCCAGTGTGGCTGCAGTGTGGTGTGGGGCCATGCAAGGATGTGCAATAGCACCAGACCCTCCCACAGCTTCCCAAAGGCACTGCTCATAGGGTTTGCTTATTTGCAAATCTTTGATGTTTTCTCTTATTTTTTTAAGACACACTAGTACGCTTTTCACTGTGAGTCTGACAGTCTCTGCATTTCAAATTGCCCTGCAAGGGAGTTGCAAGGATTTCCTGCCACAGAGCAGCGGGCAAATGTGCTGAACGGAGAGGTCTCCACCAGCACAACTGGGACTGGTGAAGGCAGCAAGACATTTGCACCTTGAAAGGAAGCAAGCATTACCCACTGCTGTGAAAGAGTGCATGTTATCTTTTCTTTGAAAAAACTCTCACCCTCACATTTCAAAGTATGAGTGCCCAGTTTTCTTGGAAGAGATTACTATTTGCCAGCTCTTTTAAAGGTTTTCTCTTATCCTCTGCTGAATCTCCAGTAATGTGTTTCATCAGACAGGCTGTAGCTAGTGCAACATTTAAATTTCTTATGACAAGGGGATTGGAGAGATTCAGAGGAGGATTGGTCTTGTGAAGTGAAATCTAACACAGCTCGTTTCTAAAATGCAAACTAAGGAGTGTCATCTGTTTACCTTTCTGATTTTGAGATCTGTAACTTTTTTCTGTTCCCCAAAGCTATAAGCCCATTGTTGAGTTTATTGACGCTCAGTTTGAAGCCTATTTGCAAGAAGAACTGAAGATAAAGAGGGTCTTGCACAACTACCATGACACCCGGATCCACGCTTGTTTGTACTTCATTGCTCCGACAGGCCACTCGCTGAAATCCCTGGACTTGGTAACAATGAAGAAGCTTGACAGCAAGGTAGGAAGGTTTAATGTTACTGTGCAGGTCATCTCACGTGTGGTGGAAATGCTGCTGCTTTTCCAGTGTGCATCTCTCCGCATTTATGCTAGTGGACATTACTGGGCTGGCAGGTAAAGCCTGTAGATTTACTGAGTGCTTTTTCTAAAGTTTCATTTTTTTTTTTTCCCTGTAAGTTTTCATAGTTGCAGTGCAGACCTGGGAAAGCTACCTGGAGCAAAACTCAAGGCTTTGTATGATTCTATTTCTTCCCAGGTCAACATCATTCCTATCATTGCCAAATCTGATGCCATTTCCAAGAGTGAGCTGACTAAATTTAAAATTAAAATCACAAGTGAACTGGTCAGTAACGGAGTTCAGATCTACCAGTTCCCAACAGACGATGAATCAGTGGCGGAGATAAATGGGACGATGAACGTAAGTGATTTGGCACTTCTGCCTCTCTGTCACTGTGGAGTTTGTGGCTGATTTAGGGGGTGTTTCATTCAACTCACTTTCCCTTTTATTCTGCTCTTTAAAAACAGATGTTTTTGGAGATCTCAATCTATTAGCATGTAGTCGCATGCTAGACCAGAAGAGCTTTGCTGTGAGCTACTGCCTTTTTAATAGGCATTTCTAGTAAAAAAAAAAAAAAAAAAAGACTTTTTTTAACTCTTTCCTTCTCCTGAGGCCCATGGAGGGACCTGCACAAAATGGGGCAGACAGTGAGGCCTAGTTGTGCAGCGCGAGGGCAGTCCTGGGTTACGAACTGATCAGATGAGTATTAAGTGTCTGGCAAGAGGGACAGGCTGTCTCCCAGTTTCTGGCTTGAGCGTTCCCAGCACCGTCGGTGCCCGTGTGTGGCTCCCTGCAGCCAGTGCAAGTCGTCGCTTGGCCCTCTGGAAGTGCATCCTGCCCCTGTATCCGAAACGGTTTTTTACAGGGGAGGAAGCAGAGGAAGTGGTTGTTTTAACTGCTGCTGCTGAAGTACAGGTGCTGGTTTGGGTGCGTGTGTCTCCTTGTTTGGTCTAATACGAATAGCTGCACAATGTTGTGGGGAGTCTGAGTGAAGTGTTAAGTTAGTCTTAGCTTGGGGGGTGGTTTCCAGGGCTGGGTTGTGTTATGAGTGTTTCATTTAGAGCTTAATGCTCACATTACATAAGACTAAAAACACATCTGGAAATGAAGATGCAACATCCCCCAGTTCCTGAGGAACTGGAGGGACATGATGGCAAAAGAGAAGTGATCTTTCCCCTCGGCCCTCCCGAGGGTGGGTATAAACCTCTGCTCGTCTCTCTTTCCAGCCATTTCCACGTCTCCTGCACAGGAATTGCAGGATCAGGTGCCAGACACTCTGGGTTGTGTCAGCCACTGAACAGAGAGATAATTGCTTTAAATCTTTCGTTGAACTGATATGATAAAAATCATAATTCCCAGGTGCATGGGAACCATGCAGGCAGGAATCTGAATCTGATGGAGGATGTTCTGTGCCTGGAAAACTTGTATCCAAATATTGGTCTTATTAACAACATAAGACAAATCTCCTTATGCTTCAGGTCATGAAATGAGTTTGTGCAGGGATCAAGACTAATAAAAAAGCCTGGATAGGATAGTTTAAATTTGTGACTTAAATTGCCAATTTTAATCATATTTTAAATTGAGGAATAGAAAGCTTGGGTTTAAATGGGTTCTTTTACCTTTATGTTTGTACTTCTCTACAGAAAGCTTCATTGTCTTTGCCTGTTACAGATCAACATCTTTGAAAGGTTATAAATGTAATTTTCATCTTATGGTAGTGTTTCTTTGCTGACCAGCAAACACTCTATATAGCCTGACTAGTAAACTTAATTTTGTTTTATGACAGATAAATTGACAATGTTCTTTGGGTTATGACCTGTATTGGTCATCTTTTCCACTGAAACGTAAAATTAGATTTAAAATGCATAAATTTGCTGTTTAGTATGTTAATCATATTTACTTGTGCTGGATGCAATAGGCATTTTTTTCAGTATTTTGCGCTCTGACTGACTACTGAACAAAGGAAATACTGCCTGGTCTGTGAGGTATTGACACACTGTGGGATTTAAAATATGTGCCATCATGATGAGAAACAGAAGTTTCAATAATGAATACAGGTGTCAAGTGCAGGATATAAAAAATAGTTGGATTAAACAAATCTTCAGAACAAAATGCCTGTTCTTTCTTCAAATTCACTTCACTCTTTTGAAAATCCCACTAAGCAGCATACATTCAGCAGTGCAGTGATGTAGAGACCACTTGAGCACACACTCAAGGCTTTTTTACATCTCCTCCCATCTAGATTTTACTCATAAGTTATATTAAGAAAAACAGCTTCTCTAATACTTCCAATTCCCAATTAACTTTTCAGTTTTGAATGAATTAGCCTAATTAGTGATGAAATCTCCCTGCACCTGCCAGTTAAATGGAACCACCTGCAGCTACCGTGAGCTGTCCCCACACGGTGGAAGCGGGAAGTTACGTGGAAATGGGAGATCCCTGGCACTTTCCCCCTTGCAAAGACAGCAAGTGGTTGGCCCCAGCACAGAGACAGCGCCTCGCTGCTCGCGATGGCTGAGCCTGCAGCCCAGCTCCCTCACGCAAGTTTTCAAATAATTTGTGGACTTGAAACCTCATTACCTGTTCCCATGAGCAATCCTGGGTCACTATCTTACGTAAAATTGACGTCTTGGGGTTGTTGCCCAGAACTCAGTGCAGTTTCAAGGCTCTGGCTGACAAATGTCACTGCACGTAAGTCAGCAGAAGGGGTGGGTGCAGGGAGCTCATGACCGTGTTTTTAAGTGTTGAAACCTTGCGTTTGACTTCTTTGCAGCTTGGCAGAACGCGGTATAGTTCCCAGGAGGAAGCAGAGGTGGGGAGCAGTCTCACTTACTGCGCAACAGATAAATGCAGCAAAGTAAGGTAGCAGTACCTGGGAGGTTTGCTCGGCTGCTCGAATTTGAGGGCTGGGGAGAGCGCAGCGGGCGGTCTGTGCCCAGAGAGGTGTCAGGAGCAGTGCTGTTCAACCCTGCTCAGCTTGCACTGGGCAGTCTCTTAGACTCGCTGTGGAAGCCAAAAAGTGTCTTCTTTTTACTAAGAAGTGACTATTTTGTTTTTCTGGATTTTGGAAAAGTAATTGCCTCCATTCTTGGGCAACCTTCTGGTACTTTAATAACTGTACATTGTGGACCTTGTGTCTAGGCTTGAAGAGCCTAGTGAGATGGTGGCATGGTTGAGCCGGGGGAACCAGCTGTATCCTCCTTTCCCTAAGATCCTTCTTTGTGGGTTTGTGCTCTGAATTTGGCCATTTTTGACCTCTTGCTGTGCACCTGCCCATTAGTTACTGTGTTTAGCATCAGCAACATGAGGATTTTATAAAGCCATCAAAGACCCTTTGGGTCTTTTCCCAGGTTCTGGGAACAACAGTCTGGATGAAGGACTGTGGTGGGGATTGGGAAAGGGGGTGCCACAGGTGGACCCCAACACAAGGCGAGGGCTGCGCGGGGAACTGTGAAGCATCAGCATGGGCAGGCTCAGAGCAGCCCATCCTCACCAGGGCTGAAGCAAGGAAAGAGCTATGGCTCTGGGCATGAAGAAGGGACTTTGGTCTCCAATATGAGAAAGGAAGCTGAGGGTTGTGGGGTGTTAAAATCAAAGGAAGCTCCAAGACCTCTTTTACAGCTTCTGTGCTTGTGCAGATGTCCTCCTCAGCCCTGGCAAGTGCCCTGGGACGCCAGCGCAGCCAGAGCCACGTGGCGCGTGTTCGAGCTGTCTTTCTGATGCTAGTCTGGCGCTGGCTCATCTCACCTGGGACTCTGTGGCTGGGAGGATCAGCCAGGTAGAGGATACAGAGCAGTAGCGCTATGAAGGTTTCCAAAAAGGATCCTTCCTTCTCCCCCTACGCCTTGTCTTGGGCTAGTGGCCAGTGACTAGATTCCCTGAGATTAGTGTGTGCGTACTGACTGTCTTGCGCAGTGGCTGTGCTAATCCCTGTGCGCCATCGAGTCTGCCAGAGTTGAGAGGGACTAACGAGAGTTGCATTAAATGTGTTCCAGGCCCACTTGCCATTTGCAGTGATCGGCAGCACGGAGGAGTTGAAAATAGGAAACAAAATGATGAAAGCGCGTCAGTACCCCTGGGGCACAGTGCAGGGTGAGTTGAGCCCACAGCATACGCTTCTCCAAGGAGGCAGAAAGCTCTCATAAAAGGAGCAAGGGATGCCTTGATTCTGTTTATGGCGCTGCTGTTGACTTGGGTCCTGCTGGACTTCAGTTCCACACTGGGATTTATCTTTTATTAAAACTTCGTGTCAGACCCATAGTAACAGTTATCTCTGGTTGTAAGGGCTATTAAACCTTCTGGAGGGATAGACATGTGGAGATAAACCTTTGTCTCTGCCCCATCTTACTCTTTATCATGTCTTCTTACAGTGGAAAATGAGACTCACTGTGACTTTGTGAAACTGCGGGAGATGCTGATCCGGGTGAACATGGAAGACCTTCGCGAACAGACCCACACACGCCACTATGAGCTGTACAGGCGATGTAAACTGGAAGAGATGGGTTTCAAGGACACTGATCCAGACAGCAAACCCTTCAGGTGGGATCTTTGAGAGGAGACAGGAGAGCTCAAGGGAGATACTGTTGGATGCATTCTGTGTGTGTCCTTGAGAAGGCACATAAAGAACCAGCGCAGCAAGAAGACCTGCCAGGTCAGATAAATCCAGACTTCAGCAAAGGTGCTGGCTGGATGAGAGAAGGTGAAAACACAGAGGTTGTGTACAGGATTCTCTGAGGTTCAGAGCACTGGGGTCTTCAGCTGATCTCTTTCCATGGGATCATGGAAGTTCATGAGTTTAGAGAAGGACTGTTAAATTCTACTCATTTGCACATGGCCACTCATGATTTTATTACGAAAGAGATGCACAGGGGAAGCAGAATTTGTTCCAAGTCACATGATTGAACTCTCCTTTCTCTTTAGCTTACAGGAAACTTATGAGGCCAAAAGAAATGAATTTCTGGGGGAACTGCAGAAAAAGGAAGAGGCGATGAGGCAAATGTTTGTCCAGAGGGTCAAGGAAAAAGAAGCTGAGCTGAAGGAGGCTGAAAAAGAGGTGAAGGCTACAGTACTTGTCTCTCCACATTCATGAGTGATAGATCCACCCCTAAATAGGTTGCTGCTGCCAAAGCAACTTTCTGCCAAAAAATGGTTTAGGCCTTTCTCAGCAGAGTCAAACATTTAACTCAGGATCATGGAGCATTAAGGTGTTGATGCTGTAGTTCAGAACTAGACTGCAATGCTTGCAAGTGCCCAGCTTAATTGCACTAGGAAAATGCCACAGTCTTTGGCTCTCTTGGACTCCTGCAGTATGCCACAACTCAAGGAGAGAGAGAGTCCTGCATGTAATCTTGCTATACGAAAAATATACTAATGCAACTCCCTTAGCGTTGTGAAAGGAAGTCAATCCTGACAAAAAGATTAAAGGTATGACACAGCAACCATCTGGTTGTTGGTATTTGCACCAAAATTCAGTAATTTACTAAACTCTTAAGGAGGAATAAGGTGGAGGCCCCTGAACATAAAAAAAAAAAAAGGGGATTTGGGAGTATTTTTTCCTACTATGTCACTCTCCTAATCCTCCATTCGTAGTCTGTGCAGTGATGCATTATTCAAACCACCTGGTTTGTAAGCTTCCTTGGAAGGAGGCTTTTTTCTTTTGCCTATGCAGTCTCAGCTTGGAGTGGGGGGACCTAGTATCAGTATAGAGATGGACAGAGACTCTTTCCAGGCCACAGATCTCAGAGGTTCCTTCCATCTCCCTTTTCCTAAAAACAGAGTAACTGGTGATGTTGGATCTGCTCACCTTTCTGCTTTCCCTCTAGCTGCATGAAAAGTTTGATCGTCTGAAGAAGTTACATCAGGATGAAAAAAAGAAGTTAGAGGACAAGAAAAAGTCTCTGGATGATGAAGTAAATGCATTTAAGCAAAGGAAGACAGCAGCTGAATTGCTCCAAACTCAGGCTCAGCAGGCTGGAGGATCACAAACTCTTAAAAGAGATAAGGAGAGAAAAAAGTAAGTTTCTAACCTGCTGGAATGTGCTTCTCAGGAATGGCTGGCTTTTACTATTTTCCTGGGTGTCCATAGCGCTCTCACAGCCTAGCCAGTGCTCATCAGGGGAAGTTTTGCAGATTCAATCCCAAGGCTGAGCTGTAGCTGGAGGCATTTTACTCTATCTGTCATTCTGAAGAGCAGGGAGCAGAGTACTAACCCCCTTTGTTGCTTACTGACAGCATGGGAGAGGGAGAACTCATTTCTATTCCCTGAGATTCCTTTCTCCTCGCTTGGTCTGTCAGTGCTTGTAGGGGACTGGGACAAAATTAGTTGCTTGGGAGTGCTGCACCTCAAGAACAGTGTGTGGGTAACAAGGGCATCCAGTTCCATACAGAGGACCAGGCAGGTCTCAGGTTCCTACTTGTTTAAGTTAGGAAAAATGTTATCCTGTGGGAATTATCTAGGAAACCTAATAACCTTGAATTGTGCCATCTGAAAAATGTAATGTAGAGGTAAAGTCTCAATTTCTTGTTAGTGCTCTCTCCAGCTCAAAGTCGTTTGCCCTTGACAGAAACAGCGAGAATTAAAGCATGGCTTTAGCAGGCATTCCCCGTGGCTGGGACAGGTGAGACAGGATCCAGCCCCTCGTTGTGACCCGTGGTCTGGACCCGTCTGCACCTTAGCACGTGCACAAGCAGCAGTGTGCAGATAAACTGGGGTCTGTTTTGATACCACTGCTACTAGCCCTTGTCCACGCATCCCTGGAGCAAATGCAGACCAATCTGGTCCACACTAGGCAGTCTGAAGTAAAAGCAGGAGCACTCTTAGTATGGACAGTATGGCAAGTGTCCAAAGAGGTGACAGGATTATTTTTCAGAAAAAATAGCTGATGACTATTAAGCTCACAATCAAATGAGTCAGGAGAAGAAAAAACAGAATCAGATCCCATTTAAGTCTTTTTACGTTAGAGCTGGAGCTGCTTCCATGTCAAAATTCTTTTGCGATGAGCAGTTAGAGCTCCTGCTCTTATTTTGCTTGTCCATTCCTTTTTACACTGCATGTTTTGATTTGCTCTTTTGAATCACCTTCAGGGGATTTTTAATATCTTTTCATGCTGAAGAGCCTAAGACTGACTGGGGACAGACCTCTCTGCCCAGCCTGCGCTGTTGAAGAATACACAGCTGAGCTTCTTTCACACTCAGAGCCCTGTACCTGAGGCTCGCAGCCTTTTGCCCCAAGATCAGCCAGGGTCAGGAGTGCAGGAAGGGAGTGACGCACCCTGTAGTCGGTACCTGTCACACTCTTATTCCTAGAAGCAGTTCTGACCTCAGGAGCACTCCTTAGCACTGAGCACGTTCATGTGAAAAAACACTTTGTCAGTTAAATTTGGGGCACAGAAAACTGTGAAAGCTGCAGGATAGTGCTTAAAACAGGCTTGGGAAGATTTATGAGGCCTCTGTCTTCTCCAATGAAATAGGTGTTGTAAGTGGTGATGTTTGTCTTGCTCTATAACCTTTCCAATTGTCCTTAATAATGTCTTTCAATATTTAGATCACAAATCTTCTTAACAATCCATGAATTTCACAAGCTGTACCTTATTTATATCTTGTTTAATAGTGGCTGGCAGTAAACTGCCCTTTTTCTTTCACAGATGACTCTCTTAAACCCAATCTGTGTAATTTGCACTAATCATGACTTGATTTCTTTTTTTTTATTATTATTGTCATGTCATCATCATCATCATCATTAGTTCTTATGTGTGTGCTATTTTACAGTTAACTGCTGTTTGGCTGCATGGTGCATGAAGCACATTGTCCTGGTAAGCTTCATTAACTAACATAGACCTCACAGTGGGATCAGTTCTAAAAAAAGGTAGACACTAGGCAAGGCCTGAAGCCCGTGAGTGTTGTCTCCACCTTCTTCAGCTTTCACTCTCACTATAGATGCTCCACCAGTCTGTCTCTACATCTGTAGTGTAGAAAAATTGATTCAGTGAAGTGTGTTTTTAAAGATGCTGCAAAGCAAAATGCATGGAGACTTGGCCATTTAATATGGATAAAATAAGGATTTAGGGCCTCTTCCTTTTAAACCTTCCCAGCACTTTGTTGGCTCTCTCTTTATTCCAGCTCTCTTAGAAGTAAGTGTTGTTCTTTAACCATGCAGGCCATGCTGATACTATGGCAACAATTGCTATGGTAATGTGGTGGGGATGATAGAAACCAGCTAGCTGATGGAAAAATAAGTTCTTTTCTCTTCCCTTTCACCTGTTTCCCTCCCACTGCTTTAAGTTGTAGTGTTAAGTTGTGGTCACAGTGCAGGTGAAGGATAAGGGACTAGTTTCTATTTCCCCCTTCACAACTAATAAATGATAAAACCTGCCAAACTTAAGAGTTTTCATTTGACCCAAAGCACCAGGTAATCGCAAAACGTTGTGTGTGTGTCTGTTTGTATGGAAGGGTTAAAGGAACTACCGCTGAATAACCAAACCAATATTCAGTTGACTATAGTTGCTAGTTATCTGAAATAATGTGAGATTGTGTGTTGAGCATTTAGCAAATGTAGGCTGTCAATGTACAGCCGGAGAGATACTATGATGTTTTAAGATGGGTCACACAAGTCACCCCAAGGGTGGATATTCAGTTGCAGCAGACGGACCCAGACCGACACATCTGGGAGCCATGCCAGGAGTGCCCATAGTTAGCGTGAGGCTGACCTAGAGGTGGGAGAGGGCTCTGTTGGAGATGCAGCCCTGGGGAGCCTGCAAGAGAGCTTTGTCCCCAAGTAGGGCCAGCATCCGGGTCTCCAAGAGTTTTACCAAGGAATGGAGAGCTGCCACTGGAGCAGAGCCCTTGGCTGGCAGCGTTAGACTGAATCCTCCCTCTCCAGATGCTGCCACTTGGTCTGAAAGATCTCAGCCTTCACCTGAGCATGGATGCAAGGTGGCCACATAGTCATGGGTGAGCTGGTGGAAGGGATAAATTGCCAAATCTTGCCATCGGAGAGTGTCTCCAGGGCAAATTGTCTGTGTCTGCTGTAAATAGAGGCTCTTTTGAACACAGCTGTGTAAGAAATGCACCTGCCTGGTAGGAGAAGAGCATCTTTAGGATTTTTAGTTGAACTGCTAATGACAGTGGGCTACTTATACCTGGGCTGAAAGTGTTGAAATGAGCTTTTTAATTTGCTGTTGATTCTCTGGTGAGAGGAAAAGCAAAGCTCCTACAGGAACATCTTGCTTCTTGATGGAGTCGCAAAGCCTGTAACCCAAGCCAAGAGGCGCCCGGGACCTGATGGAACAGCAGCCCTTCACTATAAATCACCCCAAAATCTCAGCCTGTAGGCCAGCCTTCCCAGCAGACAAACCTCCTAGGAGTTACATTTTTTCTAGGATCCAGCTTCAAATAA